AAGCACTGGCCCAGGTTGCCCCGAGAGGTGGTGTATGCCCCATCCCTGGAAACATTCAAGGTCACGTTGGACGGGGCTCTGAGCAACCTGATCTGGTTGAAGATGTCCCCGCTCATTGCAGGGGGGTTGGACTAGATGACCTTTAAAAGTCCCTTCCAACCCAAACCGTTCTATGCTTCTATGATTCTATGAAATACTTTTTTAAATGAAAAAAAATATTACACTATATGAAAGCATTTAAGGAATATAAAATGAAAAGGAAATTGAGGCAATGAAGTCATACACAGTGGTTGTACATTTGTAAAGGAATCTGCTAGTGTAATTTGCTTTAAGGGCATTGATGATCCCAGTATGTCTAAAAAAAAAAAACACTTAGATTTAAAATTAAATTACAGTAAGGAGTAATTCATTACAGCAATTTGATAAGAAACATTAGGTTAGGAAACAAATGCTCCCCTGGCCCCTCTGAATTTCTTCATCGCTCCTGTCTTTCAAAGAGTGAGGAAAGGCAAACAAATTACTGTAGATGAAGTAGACCTCTCTTACGTTCCCTCCTGCACTGTGGCAAATGAAGTCTGGGGGTGTCCCCTGCATAGCACATATTATCTATGAGGAGAAGAGCTGCTGTAAAGGCCTTGAAAGCATGCTTTCTCTGGGGCTAGTGCAGGTAAAGAAATTCCCTCTGCTCCCTCTTGATACACAAAAAATTCTTAAAAGTTATGAAGCCAAGGCTCATTTATAGAATCATTGAGGTTGGAAAAGACCTCTAAGATCATCGAATCCAACCGTCGACCCAACACCACCACCCACTAAACCATGTCCCTAAGTGCCTCATCTACTCGTCTTTTAAATACCTCCGGGGATGGTGACTCAACCACTTCCCTGGGCAGCCTGTTCCAATGTTTCACCACTCTTTCACAAAAGAAATTTTTCCTTACATCCAATCTAAACCTCTCCTGGCGCAACTTGAGGCTGTTTCCTCTCGTCCTATCGCTAGTTACTTGGGAGAAGAGACCAACACCCTCCTCGCTACAACCTCCTTTCAGGTAGTTGTAGAGAGCGATGAGGTCTCCCCTCAGCCTCCTCTTCTCCAGGCTAAACAACCCCAGTTCCCTCAGCCGCTCCTCAGAAGACTTGTTCTCCAGACCCCTCACCAGCCTCGTTGCCCTTCTCTGGACACGCTCCAGCACCTCAGTGTCCTTATAGTGAGGGGCCCAAAACTGAACACAGTATTCGCGGTGCGGCCTCACCAGTGCCGAGTACAGGGGCACGATAACTTCCCTACTCCTGCTGGCCACACTATTTCTGATACAGGCCAGGATGCCATTGGTCTTCTTGGCCACCTGGGCACACTGCCGGCTCATGTTCAGCCGGCTGTCAACCAGCACCCCCAGGTCCTTTTCCGACAGGCAGCTTTCCAGCCACTCTTCCCCAAGCCTGTAGCGCTGCATGGGGTTGTTGTGGGCGAAGTGCAGGACCCAGCACTTGGCCTTGTTGAACCTCATACAGTTGGCCTGGGCCCATCGATCCAGCCTGTCCAGGTCCCTCTGCAGAGCCTTCCTACCCTCGAGCAGATCAACACTCCCGTCCAACTTGGTGTCCTCTGGGTTGTTGATTTTTAAAACTAGCAACTTTGAAACAGAAACTTCTTTGGCTTTTAAATGAGGAAGCTCTGTTTTGTTGGGGGGGTGTGCTGCTCAGAATGGGTACATTTCTCTTTCAGTGGTTTTCTGTTACGGTAGTGTCTGTCTAGCTTCAGGCTGATTCAGCAAGATTTAGTATGAAAATAGTCCTGTGGAAATTAAGAGTCAGCTGGGAACTGTGTGCTTGCTGAAGATAGCCAATTTCTAAAAATGTGTAGAAAAGTACTTTTAAGGGGGGGGGG